GGTTATGAAGTCTAGAAGACTTTTGGTGGAACTTTCGGGGGCTTCCATATGGAATATCATGTCATCTGCAAATAATGACAATTTAACTTCTTTGTTTCCTATCTTTATTTCTTTTTCTTATCTAATTGCTGTGGATAATGTTTCCAGAACTATATTGAATGGGAGTGGTAATAGTGGACATCCTTGTCTTGTTCCTGATTTTAGTGTGAAGGAATTCAGTTTTTTACCATTTATTATGATATTGGGTTTTTCACAGATGGCTTACATCAGGTTGAGATAAAGACTCTCTAGTCCAAGTTTCTGTAGGGTTTTTATCATGAATGGGTGTTGGATTTTGTTGAACACTTTTTCTGCATTTATTGAGGTGATCATATGGCTTTTTCCTTGGCTCTACTAATATACTGTAATGCATTTATTGATTTGTGCATGTTAGACTATCCCTGCATCCCTGGGATGAATCCCACTTGGTCAGTGTAAATGATCTCCTTGATGATCTTCTGCATTTGTTTACCAGTATCTTATTGAGGACTTTTGCACTTATGTTCATTAGGGAGATTGGCTACAGTTCTCTTTTTCAGGTGTTTTTTTCTCTGCTTTTTTAATTAAGATTACCTTAAATTCATTCCTGCTTCCAGGAATGAATTTGGGAGTGTTGCTTCCCTTTCAATTTCTCTGAAGAATTTAAACAGTAGTGGCAATCATTCTTCTCAAAATGTCTTATAGAATTCACCAGTGAAACCATCAGGACACAAGCTTCTCTTAATTGGTAAGTTTTTAATTACATTTTCAATTTTGTGGATTAATATTGGGTGTTTAGAATTTTTTTTATTCAGTTTAGAATTTTTATGTCTTCTTCATTCAAATTTGGTAATTCATATGCATTTAGAAATCTGTCCTTTTCTTCTCTTTCCCATCTCATTGGCATGTAGGTTCTCAAAGTAGGTATTAATGATCCTCTGGATTTCTGCTTGGTCCATTGTAATTTCACCCTTTTCAATCCTAATTGCATTGATTTGAGGCTTTTCTTTACTTCTTTTGATAAGTTTGGCTAAGGGTTTGTGGATTTTTAAAATTCTTTTGAAGAACCAACTTTTTCCTTCATTAATTTTTGTGTGTGTGTCATTCTCTTCATCTCCATTGCATTGATTTCTGCTTTGATCTTTATAATTTCTTCCCTTCTATGAGCTTTAGGTTTGTTGTGCTCTTCTTTTTCTAGGAGCATAGGGTTTAACATCAGGTTTTTTATTTGAGATTGCTGTTTTCCTATTATGAGTATTCAGTGCTATGAATTTTCCTTGTAAGACTGCTTTCACTGTGTCAAATAGATTCTGATATGTTGTATTGTCATTGTCATTAAATTGTAGGAACTGTATGATTTCTTCTTTAATTTTCTCTGTGACCCAATAGTTGTTCAGGAGGGTGTTGTTCAGTGTCCATGTGTTTATGTTATTCTTTGTTTTCCTTTGCTATTGATCTCCAATTTCATTACATTATGATGTGATAATGTACAGGGGATTACTTCAATTCCTTTGCAGTTACTTTAACACACACTATTATGGAAAATTTTAGTCTACTTTGGAGAATGACCCATGTGCACCTGAAAAGAATGTGTATTCTGATTTAGTGGGGTGGAACACTTTGTAAACATGTTAAGTCCATTTGTTCAAGAGTTTGGTTGAGTTCTAGTATTCCGTTGTTTATTTTTTTGTCTAGTTGATCTCTATTTGAGACAGTGGGGTATTGAGGTCCACTACTATTATTGTATTGGTGATTACTTGATTTTTCATATCTGTTAATATTTGTTTTATATAGCTGAGAGAACTAGTATTTGTTGTATATATATATTTATGATTGTCAGCCTTCCTCTTGGGTGGTTCCCTTTATAAGGATGTATTGTTCTTTGTCTCTCTTAATCAGTGTTGGTAGAAATCCATTTGATCCTCAAGGAGGATAGGTAATCCTGCTTTTTTTCAGGGTCTTGTTACAGTGAGTATTGTTTTCCACCCTTTAACTTTCAGTCTATGAGTTTCTTTTTATTTAAGTGTGTTTTTTGTGTGCAGCGTATTGTTGGACCTTGCTTCTTGACCCATTCTGCCCATCTATTTCTTTTGATTGGTGAATTGAATCAATTAACATTGATGGTAATAACTGATATGTATTGACTTATCCTTGTCGGATTATGTGTCTTTGCATTCAATTTCCTGTCTTGACTAATGGTTTCATTTTGCTGGGCTTACTGGAGTTGTGACCCTCATTGTCTTTTTATAGGATATTGTTTAAAAATCTTTTGGAGTGCTGGTTTGCTATTCATGAAGATCCTCAGGTCTTCCTTGTCATGAAAGATTTTTAGTTCTATATTGATTTTGAAAGATAGTATTTCAGGGTACATCAATTTGGGTTGGGGGTTGTTTTCTTTAAGGCTCCAAATACTTTGCCCCAGTCTCTTCTTCTCTTGAGGGCTTGTGTTGAGAAGTCTGCTCTGATTCTGATGGCTTTTCCTTTGTTTGTGATTTGTTTCTTTTCTCTAACTGCTGTAGGATTTTGTTCTGTGGGGTTTCTGGAATCTTGACTATTATATGCCTAGGTATAGATTTTTTTTATCATGGCTAGTTGGAGTCCTATATGCCTCACTTATCTGTATATCAAGTTGTTTTCCCCCATTTGGGAAGTTTTCTGTCATTACTTCTGTAAACATTTTTTTTATATCACTTGCATTATCTCCTCTTTCTTCCTTGACTCTGATCAGTCTACTTTTATTTTTCTTTGCATCATGTAGCAGCTGATGGATTGATTTCTCATAGTCCCTTGTTATTTTTAAGAAATCTTTACTTTCCTGGTCACTAATTGAAATCCTGTCTTCTATAGCTGATATTCTGTCCTCACATTGGCTCATTCTGCTGCCTAAACTTTCAATGGAGTTTTTAATTTCCTGGATATCTGTTTGCAGGTGTTTTATAGATTGTATTTGTTTGCTGTGCTAGGATTCCATCATGTTCCTCAGCTCCTCTATTTTTTTATCTGTGTCTACTGTAGCATTATTAATCATGTCTTTCCCTATGGACACAATCTCTGTTGTTATCTGCAAAATTATTTCTGATTGTCTTTTTTCCAAATCCTCTTTTGTTGCCAATTCTGGGAGTCCAGGTGGGTGAGTTTCAGATTGTTCCATCTCGTTGCCCCTTGGGGATGCCTTTGGTGATCAGAAGTATGATTTTGAGACTTGTTCAGGTGTCTTCTCATTTTAATCAATCCAGTCTGGTATGTCTTTGTTGGGGTGACTGTTTGCACTCCCAGTGGGCTTCAATTATAAACAAGCCTAAGAAAGCCCTTATCTCTGCTGCTCACCACTCTTCCAATATCTGGGTTCAGAATGATGGCCTCCTGGCTTCCTGTGGTAGGCTGTTCTTTGTGCGGGCTTCTGGCTGAGGCCTGTGCACAGTTAATGATGCTATCTGGGTGGTTGTCTGGTTGGGGCCTGGGTGCCTGCACAGCTGTTTTCTAAGCCTATGACTGGAGCCCATAAGCCCAAGCCTCTGGTATCTGAGCAGTGCCCTGGCTGGGGCCTGTGCTCTCACGCTGATGTTGTCCAAGCAGGCTTCTGGCTGGGGTCTGAGCTGAGGAGCTGCTGGTATCTGAAGGGTCTCTGACTGGGACCTGAAACTGTGCAGCTCTTTTCAAGGTGGGCCTATGGCTCTGGGCTGGGCATTCAAGTAGCTGGTGTCTGGGCAGGGCCATGTCTGGGCCCTGAACACGCATGCTGCTGTTTTCTGGGTGTTTTTCTGTCTGGGGTCTGTTTTGTCAAGCTTCTAGTGTCACTCTGGTACATTTTCTTCACACTTACATTATTTTACAATTAAATAAAATTATAATTTGCTGTTGCAGTTAGATTTGGCATAAAAGCACAGATTTACCTCACTGATTATCTGGTCGCAGCAAAGGCCTATGCTTCACACAAAATAGATGAGTACTGGGTTCAGACTTTTTCAAATAAAAGCCTTACACTTTGATCAACAAAGCCATAAAACCACTGTGACAGTAGAAAGAGTACTTCACAAAAATTTCAGAATTAGTAAAGAACACAGTAAACTACACCAAAATAAGAGGCAAGTAGAGATTTATTAAAGACTGCAAATTTAAAGTGTGGACGCTAAAGGCTCATGTACTGTACCACCTATTGTAAAGTGAATCATAAACCTTGACTAATGATGTGATATAAGTGATGTTTAGTTCATAAATTGTTAACTTGGGGGCAGGCCTGTTTAGATCTACTCCCTGAGTTTTCTGATTAATTACTGTTACACTTTTCTAAACATTAATTACTGCTTATAATCAGTCCACCCTCATTTCTCTTCTCTGTCATCAACAAAGTATGGGATGCACAGAAATGGCAACAAAGTTATTTTAAAGAGATACATAAATCAACTTTTTAACTTTTTAGCAATGATGTAGGCAACAAATTTAATAATTTAGCTGTTCTTAATAATGAAATACTTATTACATGCTACTTGAGAATTATTGGACTAGGATACTAACATCTTCTGTTTCTTTTTTACAGGCACAGAAACACACTATCAGATCCTTATCCTTCTGCTAAGTCCTAGGACCTTTAAGAGCAGCTAACTGTGAGGACAGCCAACAAACTTCTGTCCTTAAGCCCACAGCAGAATGGCACTCTCATGAGTTGCCATTGTTAGAGAGAAATTGATAACCTTAGTGTTTTTCCTACTTGCTCAAGATTACCACCACTTTATTTTGTACTGTCTCTGCTCTTCTTCAGAACTCTGGCAAGCTTCTAGAATACTGAAAGGGAAATACAGTGGTTCCCTCAGACACAAGTTAGTTTCTTTTCTTATTCTTCTTTCCACAAGTTAATTTTTCATTGAGTTTACGAGGTGATAAACTCAAATTATATAAAGAAAAGTTAATATCTATTAATAAACACATGAAGACATTTAAAGTATAACAATGTTATAATAGGACAAAGAAAAAAATTCACTAACATCTCTATCCAGAACTCTACCGGTACTGTTCAGGAAAAGCATTTGTTTTACAGGATCCAGCAGCACCCAGTAATCCACATTGTCTTTCAAAGAGAGTTCTATGGTTGGGTCTCGTCCTCCAGCAGTGCCTTTTATCAGCATGTTGTCCACCAGAATTGTACCTGCAAACCAAAGAAAGTTATTACCAACCTTATACTACTAAAATGCATTCCTTAGCTCTTAAACTCCAGCTGTCTTATAAATCATTATAAAAACAGAAAACATTCAACTGTATATAAAATTTATAAATTTTTTCTTGCCAAAGGAAAAAAGTATCATTACACTCTTCTTAAATGATATTTTAGGGAAAAGAGGTAAGGGGCTGAATTCAGGCACTTGCTAAGTTTCATCATCTATTTCTTGTTTCCCTTGAACAACATGAATCTCTTCCTCTTCCTGTCCATCACTACTCCCAGGAGCTATTGCTGAATTTTATTGTGAACAAAAAGAAATGCTTGTAATAACAGTCTGATATTCCATCCACTCAGTAAGACTTCTGATATGAAAAGTGATAGCTTAAAAATAAGAGAGGATGAAAAGGCAGAGGTAAAGAAGTAGCAGAATCTCCCATGGTGAGAACTGTATTTTTTCTTTTATCTTAAAATAAATCCATAAAACATAAATCTTAATGTGAAAGACAAAACTAGAGCACAGAAGCCATTCTTCTTTAAGATATGTCTGAGGAACTCATCTAGAAGCACACGCCATTCCACTGTAACATTGTGAGGCTTGCTTTCTTAATTTTTATTTTGAGCAGGCTGAATTGTGCAAAGTTCTTGAATAATACTTAAAAAGAAAGTAGGTCTGCAATATTTCCTATTCTGTTAATGATTCCATGTGTTTTACAAGTTGAATGCAAACAGGTCTGATGCAACTCAGATCTCATATTTCTCTCACACAGCAAAGATCTCTTTGACATACAATAATGTACTAAATGATCTACTTTATTAAACTTACTATATATAGCAGAGATGTGACTATGCAAATAAAAATATAGTCTCCTAAAGATACTTGAATAAATGGAAGATACCTAGAGAACTCCTTCTCCTAGGATAGCACACAAAATATACACATAATTAATAAACTTGAATCTGGCTTAAGGAATATGATGAAAAGCCTAAGATCCACATTTGCATAGAGCATAAAATTGGCTTAAATATTATAATACTATATGATTGCACAAAGAAAGACAAAGGGTTCTTTGTAAGATTTTCAAAACAATTTAATAATAATAATTATCTAATTTTTTATCATGTATCATGTAATTTCTAATGTGTTTTATTACCTAGGAAATTTTGGAATGAACCATTTATTCTTGTAATAAAACTAAATGATGTTCAAACACACATATTTTTCCAAATGGCTGAACTTTCCTTCTAGTCTTTCACATTTTAGCTTGTAAAAATTTAAATATTGAAAGAAACTTATATTTTAATTTGTGACTAAAATGTGAGAATATATGAGAAAATATACTCTAAATTACAGGTCACATGTTCATTGCATTTTCTAACTTATAAGTATTTTTAAGAATATGTTCAAATTCCCAGTACACACTCATTTGAAAATAATTTACATAATTGACTTCTGAGAAATAATTTAGTCTGTTTCAAGATGTAAAGAAAATAAATAGGATTCTATTTCTGATCAAGCAAAAGGGAACTGTACCATAGCAGATTAACTTATGTAATTGTCTATGCCTTGAATGAATAGTGTATAAAAGCAGCAGCAAGCAGCAAACTTTTCCATAGTCTCTATACACAAAACACAGGCTGAATAGGTATGTTTAACTTGGTTCAAATATTACATAATGTATACATATTATAAGAGAGCACCTGGTATCCCATTAATGTTCAAATTTATGTTTTGTATATCACTGAAATAAATTAAATTTTAATTTTAATACTAAAAACAGAATTTAACACATGACCTATCAGTATTTCTTTATTATCTTATTATTTTAATTCAGAGAGCTAACTATGCAGCTCATTCATCTGTATTACTAGATTCTTCAGAGAAATCAACATATTATCAGTTATAAGTGTTCATGTAGTCAGTAATGTAGACTCTATTTTCACCAAATAAAGATACTTAAGTACATTTTTATTTTTTTCCATTTAAAATCTTCTTACATAGTTAAGTCTTCCTTTTTAATTGGGAAAAATATTTTCCAGATTGCATCAGAACATAAATTTACTGGAAAATAATTTATGAATCAATACAACTTCTTTAATAGGCCAAATGCTTCCTTCTATTTACTAATTGTATATAAGACAATTTGCATAAAAACCCTATTTGATTGTTTTGATGACTAAATGAGATTGCTCATCTAATATGCTAACTGAAGTCTGGTACAGAAAAGGGGTAAATAATCTCATGAGTTTTGGTTATCACTGCTGAAATCACTAATTCTGTTCTGGAAGGAAAAGCTTCTGAAGCTAAACAATGTATTTTTCTTGTTATAGATATCTTTACAAACTATTCTTCATGTCACAACTAAAGTTATCATGGTCAATAGATAGACATAGCAAGTCGTCAAGAATATTTAGGTGGATTCAAAAGATTTGAATTGCAAGTAATTACTATTAGAAGGTAGAAGGCAAGGAGAGAATGATCACCCTAGATACAAGGTAAAGAGGTCATTGTTTTTCCAATGGCAAAATCCTCCTTTCCACACTGTATTCCCACTGATAGACAATTCATCTAGGACTGTGATCACCAGAGAGGGACACCATTCTTTCCATTTTCTAACTTAAGTCAATTTTGGATTTTCTCACCTTAGGAAAAAAAAATTCACCTTAGATTTGATGGTGGGAAAAATTTTATTCAACAAACTTATACTAGAATCTATCTTTACATTGAATAATTTGCATTATATTGAATAATTTACATTAATCTTCAGCACAGTCTTTGGTTGTAGGGGATAGTATACATATCATATATAATATACAATTTCTAGTACATACATATACTATATATACTAAATAATATATATATTTCTAACATATATATTTATAATATATATTCCCTTCTTCAATGTTGGTCGAAGTGCAAACTGGTGCAACCACTGTGGAAATCAATATGGAAATACCTCAAACAACTAGAATTAGAAGTCCCATTTGACCCAGCTATTCCTCTGCTAGGTATCTTCCCAAAAGAATTAAAAGAATCATACCACAGTGATATATGTGCACCCATGTTCACAGAAGCACAGTTTGTAATAGCTAAAACTTAGAAACAGCCCAAATGCCCATCAACTGGACACTGGATAAAGATGTATTTTTTTAATAAGATGAAGTTCTGCTCGGCTATAAAGAATGAGAAACTAGAGACATTTATAGCCAAGTGAATGCACATTGAGGCCATACACAAGTGAAATAAATAGGATACACACATGTAAATACCTAGTAATTTCTCTGGTGTGAAAAACTAAAAGCGTAAATAAGGATCAAAATGTATAATTGATATTGTGTAATAGGAAGAAAAGGTCCAAAGGAGTAAGGGAAATGGGAGGGGTATGGGAAAGGAATGAAGGGAAAAGAAAAAATATGAGAAAAGGAAACAAATGGAAACAAAATCTTTGTAAACAGGGAAGGGAGGAGGGGGTGAAGGGAGGACAGGGGAATGAGGAAAAAATAAGAACCAAGATACATCATGCAAAGGTACAAGATCCCAATGATAAATGTAACTGTATTGTATGCCTAAAATGTACCAATAAACTTAATGGAAAAATATATATTCCCTCATATATACATATATATATATATATATATATATATAAACACAAAATATACATGTATATGTATGGTATAGAAAATAAATATGTGTGATATAAAGCATAATTGCATATTTAATGTTTTCCTGCAAAAGTTATATGGTTCTTTAAATAGGCAGGATTAGCACAAATGAATTTACTCTGTAAAATTACTGTGAAAGCGGCAATAAAAAGGGAAGTCTATTGGATTTTTAATTAAACTAAGTCCATGAAGCTGAAAGAGTATTTCTACAGAGAGAAACACTAATTGATTTATTGGGTTTATTCCAAACTCTAAAAAAAATAATAAATAATTAACCAAAAAGTCAATAAACTTTGTGCATAGCATGCACTACTTAGAGATATGAAATAATCATTCAAAGATATATAATCAACATGTATCACATTAAACTGCTCCAGCAAATTTTCAGCAGCCTAAGCCAACTGGAAGAATATTTAGTTACATCATATACCCGGAAGCATATATTCCTTTCTCTTGCATGTTAGTCTCTGTAAATAAAATAAAGATAAATTGATTAAGTTAAAGAATAAAAAATAAAAATGTAAGCTTAACAACGAGATTAAGCAGTGAGCATAGTAATTTTCTAGTTACTAAATAAAATCTAGATTCCAAGATTACGTTGCTAAAATAAGATCGTTTTTGTGTTTAGATCCTTGTTGTTAAAAATTCTAGAGCTTCTAGAAGTTTCTCTACTCTAATTTTTCAAACTTCTTGGTCTACAAAGATATAATCCATAAAATTCTTCTATCCCTTTGCTCCTATTATAACGAGATTACTTGGAGAACTTTTATGTAGCAGGAAATATATCATGTCTGTGTCCACGAATTTTGGTTAGATTGTGATTTAAATATTAGCAATTTATTGGCCACAGATAATTTATGCTAAAGATGGAAAATTACACCTAACAAATCATTAGCAGTTGGATAAAATCTTGGTGATATTAAACCAATCTACATTGCCATTTGTCTGTAAAATTTAAATTCTCTTTTAATTGAAAAGCACAAACAAAAAATAAGAGGTGTTGCTAAAGAATTCTTCTTTCACATTTCTTAATAGTAACTTTTATTTACTTCATGAAAAATAATAGATGATATACCAGCATTTCATCAAATTTCAAATATAAAACTTCATTAATGTTATCTTTTAATTGTCTTAACTTTTTAAGGAACTTACATAAATATTTTGATGTTTAGTCAAATGCTAGTATTTAATTTTATGTTGTTAATAAAGTATTAAATTAATGAACATTCATTACACATTTTGTGATACATTATATTTCTTTGATTATATGTTATTTGTCCATTAAGTTCTTGGAAATCTTACATAAAGGTCATATTGATGTGTAAATT